TTTGTAATAATTCGTTTTTGAAATTTGGGCCGGGAATGCCCTAACGGTTGTTTAGTAAATGAGCTGGACTGTGAGTTCGAGGATCAGAGTTGGATTTAGCTGCGGTGTAGCCCTGGTGCACTTAAATTGTGGAAGGTTCGTTATTAATTGAACTAAATTCTTGTCATACACTTGACAGTCAACTGCCATCAATAATGATCGACTACATGTTGTCAATGTTCAATTTTCATTCAAATTGTGGAAACTATAAAAAAGGTTAATTTAAAAATAGTTTCACGTGACTTGCCATCATTTTTTCTAAAGAATTATTGTTCAAGGTAAAATGTCTTGGTTAAGTAAAAGATATTTGTAAATTCATTATAACAAATTATTAGAATTTTGTGAGTGGCCCTGGGGCACATGCCTCATTGTTAATCTGATACTACCGTTCTCGTCCAGATGCTATCAAATGGGAACCCTTGTGGCGACAAGGTAGTTGTTGAGAAAAATAACAATGACTAATTAGTTTTTGTCTTACTGTTACCTTCTTTGAATTTGGGTTACCATTAATCAGTAAATGTTACTCTATGCGAATAATTAGTAATGTGAACGGTGCGTGGGATTGAAGAAAACGATTTCGAAATTGTTACGATGTGGTCTGAACTATATTAATAATACGAAAAAAAAAAACGGGACTTTATATTGTAATGAATTTTGCGATATATTCTAAATATATTTAATAACAATGCTGTATAAATATAACTTTACATATAAAAGTAGAATTGGACGAAGTTTATCAACATTGTTATAATGTATAGTGTCAGGTTTTACTATGTACAACCGATAAAACCTTGAGTGAATTGTATAATGTGCGGAAACCTCGTTGTTTACCACTGCTTCTGACAGTCAACTTTGGCAGTGAATAAACGGAAAACCCGAGATGTTTTTAACAGATTTTCACATTAACTTCTTCGTTCAGCTTGAGATTATCAGTTGAGCTGTCTTCGAAGTTATTCTCTGTAAAGTTCAGGATTGAGTGAAAGATCACATTTTGAGAAGAACTTGTTAATTTCAGTATTACAATTAGCAAAACCTACTAGAATGAAGACGGCTACATTTTTAGAAAATGTTAGATAATTAATGTATCAAATTCAAATAATTCAAAATAGCAAACATGGTAAATTATGTAATTAACATAACTTCATAGTGTCTGCAAATTAATCGCTTTGATAGTGACCGGTGATAAAAACATGATGCAGATCCTTTCAAAAGAATTATAGGCGCCAGTTTAATCAGCAATCATAGCGAAGTTTTGAAATGATGTATTGAATGAGATATTTCAGTTACAGCTCAATATTCTGAAGGGCTGATATTCCGAAAATTGAGCGTAAAATAAATTACTCGTGTAGGCCTAATGTTCATTCACGTTATAGTACCTAAACAGTAGTATGATTTATGTTATTTTAGATACATAAGCCGATAACATTGAGGTATATTTGTAATAATTCCAGAGATCTACATGAAAGCTTTTTAATATTTTGAAAAATTATCAACATTCTCGGTAATAATAATATCATTATTACTATTATTATACAAACAGGACGTAGAGTGTATGTCATTATCTATCTATGTAACCAAATCTCATGCGCCATGTATTAAATAACATCACATAAAAACTAAGGTATGAATACTACGATTAGTAATTGTTATCACAAACAGCCGCCAGTAAGGCGCGGTTTCTACTAGTAAGAATAATAAAGTAAACTCCAGTACTTGTGGCTGGTATTGTATTTTGGTGGTAGTCGGTGCCGGGTGTGGTTTAGTTTATAGCGTGCCGAGCTTGTATCTCAGGATTCATGGCTTGTGTCCCATTGACGCAAAAACTAGCTGCCATCTTTCCAATTTGTTAGTTAAATCAGGGACAGCTGTACACAGATAACCCTTTATTTAGCTTTGGACGAAAATTTTGAATCAAAGGTAACGAGGTTAACAACTGATTTGTATGCCGCATTTCTGCAAATATATCAATGATCTCTAAAACAAGCTACCTATATAGATCAGACTAAAACTAATCCAGTAATTAGTGTAGCTAATTTAATATACTGGTCTAATCGGGAGTGAGTAACGTGATTGTCATAGAATAAAAACTTGTAATTATTAAGATGTGTTGGTTCCTCAGTTGGATGTTTTTGCTATTATTGATATATTTGGCATTAATCCTCACGAAGTTTGACCAACGTAGGAGGTTTATATTAGTCCTAAACCTGTATACTAAACTAATATTGCAAGAGAACAAGATTCTTTGTTCTCTGAAGATTTCTGGATTGAAAGTATAAACATGTCCCAACTTGAGCAGCACTACTTTTGATCATACTTCGTTACACAACAAATTTTTTTTTTTTTTACATAACCAAGAAATCATGCGAAATACCATTACATAACAGTTGGTTACAGCTTTGTTATGCTGTTGACCGATAAGTTTTAAATAGGATAAAAAGCGACAGATGTGTAATCATAAAGCCAGTAGATTGTACCACTCCATGAATGATTTTGAATTCGTGTTTTTAGTTGAAATCATCTTAGTTTCGGGTTTTCTTGGATGTTTCTGTTGTGTTTACTAGATTTGAAATTTCATTTTGCTGGTATGTGAATAATAAACATCTGTGTATTATGTATATCGACATGCTATATAAACATAACGTGCTCCTAATTTTTCCAAAAGATCTGTGAGCAATTTTTATGCTTAAATAATGATGAAATTACATGCGCACAATGTTTTTTAATTTCAATATTGTGTGGGTTAAGAAACATCTAACTTTCATTAACATCGCTTTGAGTTTAATCCGTTAGATTAAAATTTCGTTTTCGCGTTTGTCGCTTATTTCTTACTTCCGGTTGAAAAACTCTCTTTTTGATGTGTTTTTAAAGGATACAGTTGTCTTCTGTGATAATGTCAACAACAGTAATATAACACAACATTTTGAAGTGGAGGTATTCAAGCCAAGGCCACAAAATTATCTTACGTGCACACACTTTCTCTTCTCGTCAACGCCTGTCACAAAGTGGCGTGATGTAGACCGACCGCTCCTTCGTGTTATTCACAGCATATTCCGCCAAGATCTGCTTGAGCCATAGCAACAGAAGCATTGTTCTGATTGGCTGTGTTACCCGTCTGGCTTTTGCATCGTTTTGAGATAGCCTTGCGTGAACCTAGTGACCCATACTACGGTAAACAACTATGCCGACGGGCTCAACTGATGAAATAATCTATTCTGATCTTTCTTTATTAGTAAGAACGTAAAGTTATATTTCATTAGCTATACTCATTACCAGGTTGATTTTTTTTTCGCCCATGGGAGAGGTAGCTTGCCCTAATCGGAAGCTAATATTAAATGTAAAATGAATGGTACTAACAAAGCACACCGAAAGAAGTTAAGAGGTTGGAATACAGTGACACTTGTATTGAAATAACTGCCTCTTGGTAAAATTATATCAAAAGTAAAAGGTTGAAGCAGAAACATTTTTTGTGGTTTCTATAAACTACTTGTATAGCAGAAATATGGACTGGCAGTGAATAGTAGATTCATTATCTTATATTGGAAAAATCACTGATTAATAAGGAACTCCTGAAACCTCATTCCACATGTTGATTTTCAAATATAACAGCAATAAAATTGAATATCTTCTATTGACTCAGTGAGCTTCATACACCATTTTTTTTATATAGATTTCGTTAATTATTTATTTTAACCAGTTACTCATCTTCAAATTTTTGAATAAATACCCATCTTGTGTGATTTTATAAAGCAAGATTGTAAAATCAAACATTGGAGAAGCAAAGGATGTCGTATTGCCACCTAGTGGCTTATAAACGTGATTTAGTTGTTGTTTTTTCTTTTGTTTATTGCAAAATTTGTATCGGAGGGTTGTAACTGAAGTTTTTGAGACTTTAAGATTTTGTCAACCTAAGTTTTAAATATAAAAAAGATGAAACACAATAGATGGTGGTTAAGTGCATGCTCATGTTCTAAATGCATTAGATATAATTCTTAGATCTGTGTGCATATATACTAATGATAATTTATACTTAATTTAAATCAGACAGTGATATCCACATTTTAATGTTAATTTCTTTGGAACATAAATGAGTTTTTTAACATGAATTTTCGACATCCTGTATTATTGGTTTCTTTGACTTCATGAACTTTGATAGTTTAGCAGGAGTGGTATATGACTGAAACCTAAAGTTTTATTGTTGTTTGTCTCATTTTAAGAGAGATTTCAGTGTATGCAATTACACTTTGGGTAATTTTATGAGGGACAGTTTTTAACAAAAAACAAATCAATCTCTCACACTTAAGTGTCATTGATAGACAAACTGTGTAATAATAGTTTTCATTCTGTTTTCATGAAGTTTTTGCATGACATGTTTATGTACATATAAATACAGCTTTAATTCCTAACATACTTTTTTTATTGTATTAATATTTGTTATATCTTTGTTCTTTCATTGTCCAGTTTTTTTTAAGTTATATGGTGAAAATAATTCAAAATCCAATCCACTTAAACTATAACAAATTTGTTTTTCCTCCTTTAATGCTTTTAAAAGCTTCAACACTTGTACACTGCCATAAATTGTTGTATGCCTAAAATACACATGACATTCAAACCTCTTAAAATTCTAGAATTAAATCAACGTAATTGTAAAAAGTATTTCTAAGTGACATAGCAAACACAGATCTGAATACTTAATAAAAACAGATTCAACTCTTATCTTCAGACGTCTCTTACCTGTCTCCTTGACTATCTTTAAACTCTCATTCTCTTGAAACAACTATCTTATATTTATAACCTAGCTTTGAATTTAGAGGAGAAACAAAGTTTTAGGCATTCTAGGCCTGTCTTAATGTCTTCCACTCAGCTAACACAAATTACAACCTCAATGTAACTTGCAACAATATTCATTAATGTTGATTATACAGTCAACTTCTAGCACTAACAGATATTCTTTCTTTCAGCAGACCCATGATCTTTTTGTTGATGCATTTCTGCAGAACAACAGACTTGATCATATTACTCAGTTAATGGGCTTTCATCCACAATATTTGGATCCTTTCCTTCGGACTCAGAACTACATCCTGAAGGGTGATGGACCCTTACCCTATGATTACAGAAACTACATTGCTATAATGGTAGGATTGTTTGATATCTATTCTAAATTATGATCATTAATCAATCTTATAAATTATGTTCAATCTTCTGATTTAGCTCGTAATGACCTGTTATCTTTTGTTTTATGATAATTACTTTCTTTATAATAATTTATTCTAATACACTGATAAAAACAGTTTGAAAACCTTTATATATCAGCTTTTTTAAGTGTATACTGTCAAGTTTTAAATGTTCTATTGTGCATTACATTCACTCATCCTAAGTGTGTGTGTATTATTCAAAGTGCTGTTCATAACTGGATTTTGTAGTGTTGTGTAAGATCTAGTTGCTAAGTGACAAATCTCTCCTCCTGACCATTGTTGTCAGTTTTTTTTAACTTTTGGTATTTCCTACTTTTTTATATAATAATTAAAAACTGTATTGAAATGTGAGCAGAAATCCAGCAATATTTTCAGGTTTTTAATATAAGCCACACTTTTTTAACTTTTTAATATATTTCACAAGCTGTTTTTTTATAGTTCTACATATTTTTGTTATCAAAAAATTGTTTTTTAAGCTCTTCGTGATGAAAAATTCTTAACATTTTAACTGCAACTCCTATTTTTATGTGAAATTCCTCTGATTTTGTCTTCATTCAGTGTCTTATTCATAAATAATTATTTTTATAGTCAAAAGTTTTCATTTTATGATGTTTGTGTGCATGAGCATAAAAGTTGTAAATATTGATTATGCTAAATGTGAATTCATAGAACCTTTAGATTAAAGTTAATAATAGAGGCACTTTTTTTTCTCTCTCTCGTAGCTAGTGTAATAAATTAAAGCATCTACCCTGTAACAGTTAACCCTACATTCATTAACCATACTGTTACACTACTCCAAATGAGGTGCATATCTGTGTAAAAATGCATTTTGTTAGGTAAACAAGAACTCATTAGTGAGTACCATTCACTGGTGCTGATATTATTCATGTATGTATGCCAGAAACACAAAGCATGTAAAATCCTTTACATCAAATCATACAAATGTTAGTGTTCCACCACTATATGTAGGCCTATTTTACCTCTTTTGTTTGCTTTCTCAAACATTACTGTCATGATTTGGTGAAACCATTGTCTTCTGCAGTAGGAGTATTTTATAGATCAGACCTCAACATTATTCACTTATTCTTCACTGATATCATAAATGTTAGTGAGGGAAAAGAAAAATTCATGAGTGACTAATACAGAGATTACCGGCTGGCAATTACCTGTAGTTTGGGTTTACTATTAAGCTGAAAATTACCATTCTGATTTTACTGATTAATGTCAACAAATGCTTACTTTATTGACTTAACACTATAATTGTCATTAGTAGACCTCAATAGGATGCTAATACAGAAATACGAGCAAGTGCCAGTTAAGCACAGCAAAAGTGTCGGTTTTAGATCATAAAAAATATCATTGAAACTTTAAAGAAATGCACTTTTGTAACACTGCAATTTATATCAAGGAGTAAAAACATTTGTCAGAAACTTATCTGGAGCACTGCTGTTAGTCTTAACAAATATTTCACTAGCCATTCAGCCTTGTAGTTTAGGCCTGTTAACTTTATGAAATGATGTGTCAGTTTATGACATTCTCTTTGTTTTTTTTATACAAAACATAAGTTCCTTTATATGTATATAGTTAAGCTTGCATGTGAAGTTTTTCTGTAGAAAGTTCACATAGATGTAATGTTTTTTTCTTTCTTTCAGGCTTCCGCCAGGCATTGCTGCACACACTTGGTAAGGTTACAGAAACAAGAATTTTTACTGCAAGGTGGAAATAAAAACTGGTTGAATGGGCTGGATTGGGTGCCACAAAAACTGCAGGATTTGAATGAGCTCAACAAGATTCTTGCCCATCGACCCTGGCTGATTAAGAAGTCTCATATAGAGGTTTGTTAATACCCTAAAAATGTTTGACGTGTTTTATGACTCTTACTCTATGCAAGTTGAGGAATTCTCACAGGAGAAAATAAGATTTGGGGAATCGTATATTTATTGAAAACTTCTTTAAAAAATCTAAAAGATGTTTAATTTTTTTCAACATCGTGTTGGATTATTTCATACATAAATAAGTTTTATAGATGGATGGATGATATCTAAAATAGGTATTCCTTTAACCTAAACAACATGGGGGGGGGGGCACTACTTTCTGTAGTCACTCATTTTCTAAGAAGGGCTGCAACAATTAAAATGTGTTCAGCAATTAATGTTCTCTACTGATAATTTAATCAGTTTTCAGAGCTAAGATTTGCTATTAAGTTTAATACTTCTGTGAAAAATAATAAGTTGAACCCTGGTTTTTCTTGTAAAAAAATTAAAAAAAAACATACTCGTATAACTCCTTGATTGGCATCAAATGTTTTTCATACAAATCATTTACGATAAAAGTTTGAGTTGAAAATTTAGCTCGTTTATTTTGTACATTTTCTGATAACATGTTTTTATGTTTTTGACTTATTTTCGTATGGCTGTTTGTAACTAAATATGAATTATTTACTTCATGAGTTTGTACTTAATGGCAGTATTGTTTAATTCCAGAAACTAACCAAAGGAAAGGATAACTGGTCATTATCAGAAGTTGTCCATGCTATTGTTATTCTTGCTCATTTCCACTGCCTATCAACTTTTGTTTTTGGGTGTGGCATTAGCCCCGAGATTGATTCCAGTGACGGGCATACCTTTCAAAAATCTGCAGCTACTTCTAACAACCTTTCAGCTGAAAATAGCTGGAACAGTCATGAGGTTAGTTTTTACAGAAATTTTAAAACTTTCAGGTAGTTGTGATAAAATGTTTTGTGCTGAGTAACAAACAATAAATTTATCCTCCATTGGCTAAGCTTGAGTACTTATAATACTAAAAATCTGGATGTAATTCCAAACATTTGTATAATTCAGTTTTGTTAAAATGTCTACATAATGTTTTAATGGTTACACTATTAATAGAAAATTTCAATTATTTGTTTAATCTTATGCTTAAGCTATTATGTTAGCTTTTTTTTTTTTTGATGAAATAAGCTGTTTGAAATTTACAGGCAGCTGATACCGAAGCAGGCGTTGAGCTACTGATGCAAAAAATGAAGACAATTTCAGAACAGCATGAAGAGGCATCTCAGGAAGAAAAATTAAAATGTTTTCAAAAAGAACAGAGCCAAAGTGCAGAGCTAATTACTGCCAATGACAATACCCCTCTTCCCAAGTCAGACATCTTGAGGTACACTGATGATCCAGATTTTAGTTATCAAGACTTTGCTAAACGTGGAGAAGGATCTGAAATACCAACATTCCGCATCCAGGTGGCTTGATTTTTATGTTCAGAGTAGTCTGAATATTTTTGAGTTAATACCATTTTATTATCTGTAACAGTTCATAAAACAAACAAACAAACAAAATGCATTGTGGTGGTTGTTCTTTGCTTAGGTTAGATTTTGAATCTGTTGTGGTGTCCATAGCTTACAAATGTTATGATATGTAGATCCTTGTAAATCATGGTTCTAATCACATGACACATGTGAATGACAAGAGATATTCAGTGTGCAGCTAATGCTGTCACATGATTTTTGATGTGTTGTCCTGGATGGCCTACTAATGGACAGTTAATTAACCACAAGAATAATTAGTATTAAGAAGTAGAGAGCCGTCAAGATTACCTTTGCTGAAATAAATACCACGCACGCACGCACACACACACACACACACACACACACAATGATTAATTTTGAAAATTTTATCTCGAAATCATTTGCACAGTAGTGAAACCCGAACTTCACAAACATATTGTGTGTAAAAGTGAATTCGTAAGTTTGTATGAATAAAATGTGTTTGGTTTACTTTTACTTATCTACATTTTTAAAGAAAAAAAGAGCAAACTATAATATGTGAGGATTAAAATATTAATTGTAGATGCCGAAAGAATGTATAAAAGCAGTTTGTACACTTTAATTATTGGATAGTGTTTACCATGAGAATAGCATATGGTTTGGTAGTTGATTAAGTAGTTTATAAAACTATGTACTGGCTTTGTTCTGTGTGCATAATTTATTGCAAGCAGTTGAAATGTTAGGCAAAAAGGTAATATTTATTGTAAGAAAGTTCACACACCTATTTATTATGGTTGTTAATATGAAAATTGTTGCATTCCTCTTATTTTCTATGATTGCTTGCAAATTTTTTGAAAAGGGGGACCTGGATTAGGTCCTGAATACTAATTTTTTATATTAATTATGTGTGATGTTATTGTCACAAATACATTTCGAGTATTGTGAGCTGTTAATTTCTTATGATTTATTGTCTTGTTTTTTTTTTTAAGGATTACTCTTGGGATGATCATGGATACTCTCTACTTAACAGACTTTATAATGATGTTGGCACAATACTGGATGAAAAATTCAAGATCACTTATGACCTTACTTATTATACGTAATTTTTTTGATCTAAATACTTTTAATTTTGTTTTCTGATGTTTACTAACTTCCATTTAAGATCCCCATACTTTTAAAGGACTTAAACTGCAAAAAAAAATTACTCAACTAATAATTCAGGAAGATGTAAACCTTACCACTTTGTAAATACATATATTAAGCTAATAGTGTAAGACAATCCCTATAATAAAATTATAATAAAAGATAAATTAAAATAATAATATCTGATATACATAATAGTATAACCCATACTGTTAATGAAAGCAACAAGTAAATAATATGGTGTACCTTTACCTAGGGAGCAAAGAAACATTAGCTGTCAGCTTTGACAGCCATACTGTGTTTGTGACTCACAAGTAGAAGTCTATGTTGTGCGTGTGTGTGTAGGAAAAAAGATAGTTTTTTGTTTTTTTCTTCAAAACAATTTTGAAAATTTAACAACTAGGAAAGTGATACCAACTAAATCATATTTTGTGTTTTTTCATACAGAAAGTAGACAATGCTTAAATATTTTCAAATTTCATACAGTAGTGTTTATTCTACTTGAATGTAAACTACCAGAACCCATAATTAATGGTTATTACAAGGAAATCAAATAATTGTGTTAGGTAAAAGCATGCCAACATGACATGGTAAGAAGAAATAACAATTCTGATAAAACAAGAAAGCTATTTCATTTTAATTTTAAGACTTGTACAAAAGTTTCACCAAAGTGAGTAGTTTCAGAAGATATATGTAATCTTGTATGCTTTTCAAGCCATAGAAACTTATTTTTACTGTTAAAAGAGCACTCTTGGGTTTGCAGTTTTGAACTTTCTTATGGAAAACCACCAAGTTTCTGATTTTACTGTTATTCATTTCAGAATGGGTTTTAAAAACAACGTGGATACTTCAACGTTTCGTCGTGCCATTTGGAATTACATCCAGTGCATGTATGGAATACGTCATGATGACTATGACTATAGGGAAGTGAATGAACTGTTAGAAAAACCATTGAAAGCTTACATCAAGACTCTTAGCTGCTACCCAGAGAGAACAACAAAAAAAGACTATGACAGTGTTATGAGAGAATTTAAACACTCAGAAAAGGTATTGTATTCTTTAATTGCCACAGTTTACCTTTAAGCCTGTGAGTCAAGTTATTGGTTTAATGTGTTTGTTTGTAAATTGCTTAGTGTGTTAGGATTCCTGTGAACTCTGATTAACTCTTAGCACATGGTTCAGGCACATTAATATTTATTCATTTGTTGTAAATTTCTATATAGTGTCAAACTTGGTATAATGTACAATTTAAATAATCGTAAAGTTCTTTCCTCAGGGAAATTATGGAGATGTAAGCCTTTTCTAAACTGGGTATTATTCAGGTGATGATGTTTTACATTCATGGAACCTTGGATATTTTTAAAGCCTCTTGTTCAGTGACTTAAAGTACATTTGGGTGTATTTACTAAAAGAACTAAAGGTAATAACTTCCCTTTAAAATTACGGAAACTTAATGTCATTTATTTAGTTGTAGTTCTTTAGATAAATTATTTTTCTAGATGCTTATTTATATATTTCACAATCTTCTCCATTATCTTGTAATTCTCAAGTTATCAGTAATTTGAGCATAAAATTAACTAAATTTTCTTATGTTGAACATTGGACTTTCAACTAAGCTTGATACCCAAGTGCATTTTGTTCATATTATATCCATCATATTGTGTGTCTTATTTTTAAATAGATGCAACATTTTCTTATTTAGGTTCACGTGAACCTTATGATGTTAGAAGCTCGAATGCAAGCAGAACTACTCTATGCTTTACGTGCCATCATGAGGTATATGACTTGAACCTCTTCTTGTCGGTAGTTCCAAGAATACTGTGATCATCTTCTTTATATAGTTCTGAACCATTAGAGAACATTATATGAAATTCGTATGCTGTCATCTGTCTTAAAATGGGTTTTAAGCACAAGATGGCCATTAAACCACTTAAAAACAGTATGCTGTTCATCCTCTACATTTATGGGTTGCATCCCCTTCGTCAACATGCTACTGGAGCACAATGTCTTTGCTCAAATCATATATATCTCTTATAAAGTAAACAGTGGAGCTTCTAACCCATGATTTGATGTGTGCATGTGTTACATGGAAAGGAAGTAGTATATAAATATATCAAGTAAAGGCAGTTAGTCATGAAATATAAGAGATTGTGTAATCTGTTTCTATTATTTCGTTGTTCTTGCTTAAATGTTACAGGTAAAAACATATCTTCCACTTATATAATCAGATGAAGTTTTTTTTTGTTTTTTTTTATTTGCTAATATATGCTGTATGCTTGCAGATAAATTATACAAATGAGTCTTCCCCATAAGTAATAAATATTATTGTGGTCAAAATACATTTGAATACGTACGTATTTCCCCCAAGTGTGTACTTATTAATTTCTCAACTTTTTCTAATACACAGAAATACACAAGGTATTTTTAACCTGTGAGTAACCAATAGCAATTTGTAAATCAAGGTAAGTGATTGTTGTACTTGATCAATACATATAACTCCAACATAGATTTTTTTGCTTGGATTTCTAGAAGGGGGAAGAAAAAAAATGTGAAAGAACAGAGGCAATAAATGAGCAGAGATCTTAAAGTTAAATTGGATTAAACATGATACAAGATTTAAATGTGGTATATATGAATTAGCCTCTGTAGCTGTTTCACTTTTTTTTTTTTCTCCTGTAATTGTGACAGTTTGTGTGTTTTGTTTTTTTGAATTACTCTATTCAAAATTATGCACAAGAATTTGCCTAATTTTGTACGTGTATAATTTGATTGCTTGGAGGAGGAAGAAAGGTGCTTTTATAGAGTATAACATTTTTGGAATATTGAAAAGCCATATTATCTACAAATTTGAATGCTTGTGATATAGGATCTAATCATACAAATAATGCATCCTTTTCTTCCAGTGGAGCTAAAAATAAAATAAAATTGAGAAAGAAATCTTGTTTATTTTATTTTTTAATTACAAGAAATTCAACAGATTACAATATATAATTAAAGATTAAAAAGTATAGCTTGAATTAAGGTGGTAAAAAAAAAGACAAATTTAATTGAAAATAAAAACCTACACAAGGGGTCTAATATTTCGAATAAAAATCACTTTACATTGCACACCTTTGAAGATTTCAAATAGGAGGGGTAATAAGCAAGACTGGTAGATTTAACTATCAAATTTTTTTTTTTTTTTTCCTACAAGTTATTCAGATATAATTTAATACTTAAATTGTTACTCATAACTCTAAACGATTTTCTGAAACTAAGTGGATTAAGTGTATGGTCTTGCTCACTTAAAAAGTTAAATTCCAGGCAAATAAATTTGTAGAATGTTCAATTTTTTTCACTTCATTACAGGTTTATTAGTTTTTGTAATTATGATCTTTTATTTAAAAGTCTGTCTGTCTTTCCTGAATAATTGATTTCGATTTGCAAGTTGTTGTTTTTTTTATTATGATTAAAAGAGACTATTCTAAGGTTCTTTCTAAACTTCAAGTATAAAACAATTGATAAGAGCTAGAATAAAATTTGAATTTTCTGGTTGAAAATTTATAGACTTACAATGCAAAAATTCTGGGTTCGATTCCCTATGGTGCACATAGTAAATAGACCATTGTGGCTTTACTCTTAAAAGACAAACAAATCCAATTTATTCACATTTAATGATTATGTATGTCAGTAAGTAAATATTAAAGTAATAATCATGCTTTAGTTACATGGAAAAATTTTGAATACTTGGAATTACTTTGTTACACCCTTCATATACTTAAAAGTATAAATTTGGCAAGAACAACAATAAACACAATTTCAGTTACTCTCGCTATGAGTATAAAGAGGTTATCCCATCGAAAGTTAAGTGTAATCATCTTGCTGTTGTCGATTGCGTTCGTGATGTCCTTTTCAATTATCTGCTGATGAAAGCTCTTATGAAATTGTTATTGTAAGCAAAGAAGAAAACACTAATGCTTAATTTAACTTTGTCAAAAAAATATTTAGGCACTGAGGAAAATGAAGTTTCATTTTCATTATTAATGCATTATCACTGTTATATGGTGGGTTTTGCTAATTAAGAAAGAAAAATGTTTCTTGCTCAAAATATACTTACAAGATCTCTAACCTATCAAGCTTTAATTATTCATTAACCAAACTTAACTCTAAAACTACATACAGATGGGACCACACATTCATGCACCAAATTGGTTTGTAGGTCTGACTTAGCTGGCTACAGGACCTCTAGTGACTTACAAGTCATTCAAAAAAATACACGTATAAAGAATAATATCCAAATTGCAATTAATTCCGCCAATGAGTTTTAATTTGAAATTACCTTAATGGCGAAGAATACAAGATTACTGGTGAAACTGTAGTATTTGGATCCATTCATGTAATGAATGGTATAAAAAGTCTGTAATTCGAGTTATTAAAAAAACGTGTACTATTTTGAAGTTAACTAAACTATCATGAATTTAAAAAAAATGCTAATATTAGAACCATTGTCAGTCAGAAAAAATACAAAAAAAAATGAATTTGAAGGAGCCATTTGCCTTATAAGCTACACAACCTACAATTATAAAAGATTTCAGAAGAAAAATTATCAAAATACTACAGTTATTAATTTGAAAATTCAGCACCTGAGTAGACGTAGGAAGGTCTTGACATTGTTCACCGATATACAGTTATTTTTTTAAATTCAGATTCCCGAGGAGATAAACTTCCAACCAGCTGTGACCTAGTGATTAGTGTATTGGTATGCAGATCAAAGGGTTCAGGATTCCAGACGTGTTGCTACTGCGCTTTCAATTGTGGGTACATTGTAAAAGTAACAGCCAAGTTCATTATCTCAATAATTTGAACTTAAAGTTTTTCAAGGATTGTCTTCAAACTAAATACATTAGTATCAGACCAAAAATACGATAGATGAAAAACAAGGCAGATTGTATTAACAGAGTTTAACTTCTAGCAATCCATAAATTTAATATGAGCTGATGAGGATTCGTTTAAAATGTTTGACAAAAAAAATTTAAATTTCTAAAAGTAAATGAATAAGTTCAGGGGAGATGTCTATCTGTAATAGGCTAAATGAAAGGTTTATTCGTGCTATTTGTGACACTAGTTAAAAAAAATAATTGTGATTTTACTTTTGTAGGCAATCTATTAAAAGTTTGATTATTACCCTTAGAGGAAATGTAGTATTCAAATAATTATACAGAAGTTTACAAATGATTAAGCTGCCACTAAATAATATTTGAGGAAAAGTTATTCTAAACATTAACTTTATTTGAAATATTAAACTAGCTGGAGTACCCGTACCCTGTACGGAAGTTATGTAAATTCATCATTAATGAAGGTTATCTTGGGACGTAAGAAGTTGCTTCCCTTATATGTAATTGTAAAAAAACAGCAAAACAAAATGTAAAACCGCAAATTTGTGTGTATCTCCGCATGGACCCAACCAACCTTCATGCCAAATTTGGTGAAGATCCATCCACAGGAGGTTAGGTAGTGGTAAAAAAAAACGTCCATAAAAACCGCAAAATGTAAAACTGGAAATTTGTATGGACATAATGAACCTCTATACCAATTTTGGTGAAAATCTATGCACACCCTTCGAATTAGAACACACAACAGATAGCACTATTATACTCGTATAGATTTATGTACAAATTAATACTGTAAGACTTGAAACTAGATTTAATAGCATTATTCGGGCACTGTTCCAGTTTTTTTTATTATCGTGAAATAGGTAATATACTTTAAAGAATTATCTATTAACCTTATAAATACTCCAAATTTACTCCTGTAATATGGAAGTGTAGTAATTATTTTATACCATTTCATTTAATGTAAACTTTGTTTAAATTTTCTTACATACAGATTGTGTAATTTTAACAGAGAACCATGATCATAAATGTGACCAGGTGTGAAATTCTCAAAAACAAAAGCAGAGGTACTCAGCTGAGTGAAGTGGGCCTGTTTTTGAAAAAAAAATACGTGTAAACATAAAAAACGACAAAGCAGCTCAATTAAATCCCAGTACTAGTACCGCCTTAAAAATAAGTTCCAGTACACAGAACCGGCAAAATTTCATCCCTGGATGTAACTAAGTTCTCTTCACCCAACTACCTATTGTTCTGGTTCATTCACCTATCTTATCGCATGCGCCTTATTGTAGGAGATATTTATGTAAAACTGAATACTGTGAAACTAGACAGTGGTCTTTACAACTGGTAGGTCAAATAACATCTTGAGGATTCAATCTCTTATTTTTTTAATGGGAATGACCAAAAGTGGCATTGGTAGCACACCCGTCTGAAAAGAATAGGATTGTTAATTTATGTGCATAATTCCAATTTTTCTCGGATCAACAGTTTTTCAAACATACTCAACAGCACCGCAGATGTAATAAAAAATACAGCCCTAGTGCACAAATACACACTCGTTAAATTTCTATTGCATTTTATTTTGTGAATAAAGTTTAATTTTGTTACAAATCATGTACGGCCTCTTTCATTCTTCAAAGTCAGAGAATTCAGATTTACTCTATGAAACATTTTCTGTTAAACTTCGTATTATTCTCTAGATCCTATTCGATTTACTTTTAAGTTCTAGGGGAAATCAGTGTACATAAGAATACCACACTTCTAATAGTGAAGGTAAAAGTGTTAAATATCGCACAGGATGAAATGGTAACTTTGTCTAGACAAAAACATAAATGGAGGCAGGTATGTTTCATGCTAAAGGTTTTACTCTGCTTTGAGAATCGTATAAAGGTTTTGATATGAAAAGTAAGAGTAAATAAATGGTTTTGGAGAGAAACTTGGACGTGTTGAGTATAATGTATTGATTGCAAATGGACGTCACGTAACAACGCCTTACAGTATGTTTTCGATTATATAATTTGCTTAAAGGAAATCTATATGGCAGATCAATTTTTACAACCGGAAATGAACATGAGCCTTTCTCTTCGTAAATAAAAATATTTTAATTGGAACAGAAGTTAGCAACTAGTTAACAGAGGTATTTTTTTATTTGTTATATTATTAAACGCAAAGCTGCGCAGTGTTAGAACAACTAATTTTACCATTATACGCCCTCAAGCTTACTACCGAAACATTGGGGAAATATGAATGTGAAATTAAACTACAGAATAATAACTGTCAAGGAAGATTATAATTTGTGGAAATGAAAAATATGAACAGGAACATTTTAATATTCTATTAGAAAAAAAAATGTTTAAGTAAAGTAATGAACTAAGGTTTAATGTTCTAAGTGAGTTTTTTTTTTTTTCTAATAAGGTGATTCAAATAATAAAATGTTTAGTATAAGAATAAAAATTTATGAAACAAACTAATAGATGAAGAAAAACAAGATAGAAATATTGAAGACGATGTTAAACAATGCCGCAAAATTAAGAAATGATTCGGAATATAATTAAATTATTCAAATTTATTTTGGAAAGCGTATAGATTTCTGCGGTTTTATGATAAATACATTTTTATTGATAAGAAATAGCATTCTTTTGATCTAAAATATTGAATGCCCCTAGTTAGAACGATATGTTAAATTAGCCACATTAATTACTGGTTTATGCTATGGGATGGTTGTGATTAGGAATATTACTATGCTACGCAATTTATACCGCATGAGGTTTCTATATAATATATTAATTATCAGATACGGATGTACTCATCCTTAAGTGTTTTTCAAAATTTGTGAGTCAAACACGGGCAACAACTTCCGAAGGCCCATTTAAGTAACCCAATGGCACAAAAACCCATGGGAGATGTCTATTGTTTGTACTTAAATCTTGCAATGGAACAAGCAAGTTGACTTGGATGTGTGTGTGTGTGTGGCTGAGTGACTTTTTCTCAGTGGAGCCATAACTTATTAATGTCCAATACACAGAAAGGTGATATTTCGTCGCTGTACAGTGATTTTAGCT